ATATAATAACGCTATCAAATAAAAATAGCAGGAGAGTATACGCGAGTCCGTTGATATTACATATGTACACGTGTGCGAACAAAGAGTGCGTGTATGTGTATGTAAGTACATAAGAGATGTCTATTTAGCAGCTCGTGATATATACATATGAGATAATTAAATGTATGATAGTTCTACGGATACACTCGAAGCGCGCGATCGGCGTTAAGCATTATTTTTCTCTCGATTGAATCTTCATATATATATTATATATGAAAATTATATATATAAATATATATATATATATTTATATATATATGAATGTATGTATGTATATATATGTATATATATAATATATATACACGCAACATACATATATACATATGACGTGATCATCTGGCCTTTCTACGAACTGCAAAGAGACAATTTTTTGTGTAAATATATCCACGAGATTAAAACGCTGTTTGTTAAACTACTATAAACGTCGGCATTACTAATTCCAACTTTATTCAGTAATGTAATGATTTTTGTTTTTCACAATCTTTCGTTATCTTTTAAGCAGAATAATTCTCAAATGATTTTTCCAAGCTTTTAGGCTCATCAAATTCTTGTGTCCTGAAAAGAAATTTTGTAGGGATCGGAATAATTTGAAGAGACAATACAACAGAACAGAACAGAACAGATATGACAGATGTGGAAGGACATCTCAGCCAAATTGAGAACACAATTTTGGCTGACTAAAGAGATATGCGATCAAGTGAAAGCAGATTATGTTCGAATTCGTCGTTTGATTTTGTAGAAGGAACTTACAGGATACCCTTCCAATAGATGTAAGGAAAATTCATTATTTATTTATTTCTATTAATTATATATGAAGAAGTTTAATTGTTAACCCTTTCGGTAAAATATTTTTTTCAAAATGTCTTTAAGACATCTTTTTTAGGATGTTTTCAAGACGTCTTTAGTCCTTTCGGTACGGAACAGCGCAATGAAGAAGTACTTTATGTGGCCGGAATAAAAATAGTAATAACAAGAACTGTGGGTGCATATATGCGCATATATGAGGCCAAAATAAACTTTTTTTCCTGAGCGTATATATGCGCTAACGGTATTCAAAGGGTTAATAATAATTTTAATAAAAAAGAAGGGAATATATAAGCGCGCGCAGATCTCAACTTAGCGCACGCGACTCTTCAATATTTTCATGATTTATTTTAGTTTATTGAAACTAGAGATTGCTAGAAAAACTAGTTTTCACTTTTACATGTTTTTAAAAAAGGGAATTTGCACACCCTGGCACTGCTTGTGCCAAAGCAGAAGTTTCGTTATATCTCTCTCTAATAGATTATTACATAATTTGAGCATAAACATCCATTTACAACATAAAATTCTTAATTTTTTATATCGTATGATCAAACAATAATTAAAATAATAATTCAAACAAAATAATATCATTGCTTTTCAATTACCGCTTGGTTCCTTGCAGAACAAATCCATCAAAAGTTGCTATCATCGTATTTTGTTGAATTTGACTTTGTAAACATCTAATATATATATATTTCATCGATAAAGTAGAAATAATTGTGATCAACTGTTATTATATATTAAGTGTTTCTTTTATTGAATGAGGTCGCTATTCCGATCATATAAAAATTCGCGCAAGTAATAAAACAGCGCAAACTAACAGTGAGAGTTCCTTGAGAAAAGAAGTGGTTGAAGCGTGATAGCAGTGATAGCAGTGATAGCAAGAAAAGGACTTAGAAAATTTACGAACTTGAGAGAACGTGAGAGATTTTATTTTATGACATTGTGTGCGAATTCTCATTTAACATTTAACATATCATTTAACGAACAGCTTTTCTATTTGTTTTTGTTTTCTTTTTTTTTTATTATATACAATTAAATGCCTTTATTGATTTGAATTTTCTTTCAAGACCTTACAAACTTATCGACGTCTGCTTATTACACTTAAAATTCAACAATGGACGAAAATTTTAAGAATTGGCGTGATTCGAATGAACTATTAGAAAACGAGTCCTGTTTTATTTCTGATAATAGTGATGTCGAAAATTTTAATAACACTGACAAAATAATTATTAATGAAAGTAACGATGATGACAGCGGCGTATTGGAGAACACGACATCGAAAAAGTAAGTGAAATTGTCATTGTTTTTTCGAAATATAATTCCGGTGATATCTGTTATCTGATTTCCACACTTGTGCTTGCTGTTTCATAACATGACCTTATGACAAAAAAAGTGCGATATTGATATTGGAACATAAACTCAACGGAATTATGCCAAATCTATTGTCTCATTTTAAAGAACCAAAATTTCTTCAATTGTTGTTTTCAATTCTGCAAACAATTATTAATTCAATTATCAATATATGAAATAATCTAGCTCATTGTCAAAAATTCCATCTCATTTTTATACGAAAATAAGAAATCTTTTTTGCTTCCAATAACTCTGATGGAAATATTTTTCTGAAAATTTAACGAAATTTTGCTGAAATGTATTTGAAAAATTTCTCTCAATTGACCCCCATTAATTAATTTCATAAATATTTCAGCAATTTTTTCATTAAAAAAGTAACAGTTTTCAGTTTAATTCAATAAATTTCATAATAATAATTATTTTAAAACTTTTTTATTACTTTTTAGCAGTATATTTTAACTTTTCTTATATTTCATAGTATTACATTAAATTTTCATACGGAAAATTATGATTTATTTCGAAATATATTCAGTAATTTTTCAAAAACTTTTATTTTACTTTTCATTGATTTCATAGTACTTTCAGCAAAATATTTCCATCAGGGAATTGTCTTGTTTTTCTTTTTTCTATGTAGTTTATCCTATGTATATAGCATATAATATCTTGTGTATTATATATACATTATATATACTGTATAGTACTCAATTCTATTTCTGTATAGAAATGAATCCTTTGATCCTGATGATATACCAATTATTTCTTTGGCTAAAGGCAAAAGGTTGAAAAACCGTAGAATAATAGATTCCGATGACAGGATAAATGATGATGATAATGATGATGGTAAGAACTCCACATATACAATTAGTGACACCCATAAGAATTTTAATAATTCTGATTCAGATAAAAACAGCCTTCCAGACAGAAGCTATATATTATATGTAATACTGCAATTTATTTCAAATATATCTAAAATAATGTATTTTTATAGATAATTTTATAGATTTCTTTTTTTATCGTTACTTAAGAACAAAGGAAAAATTACATACATCAATAAAAGATTCATTAGAAAAGTTTAGTTTTAGTTGTTTTATATCTTAGTATTATCATGAGTAATGTCCTTTCGTTTTGTCCCTTGTTTTCATCTGAATCAGAATTATTAAAATTATTATGGGTGTCATTAATTGTATATTTGTCCTTACTGGAAAAAGTGAATAATACTAATAAAAAAACAATGGATGGAGATGGAGCAGCTGCAATAGTGAAAGGTAAAGTATCTTATTCAGGTATTTTTACTTTGAATATCAAATATATAAATTGATCTTTGAATAGATTTTACTTCATACTTATGGTATGACTATCGATATGCTGCAATTTGTAGAACATAGTCCGGGAAGAAGTCCAACACCTAAATTTGCAACATCAATTGACAGAGAAGAAGCAAAAATTGATCCATATTTGAGTTTGGACATACCAATAAAACCTACTACATCTCCTGAATTAAGGGAACTAGGCAAGAAGGCGCAGAAGACGAGAGATAAGGAACTCGCTTTAACAGTCGATCGATTGAAGGATTTGCATAAGTCACTTGTGGCTTGTCCATCAGAAAATGAAGAAGCGGAGGATCCAAGAGGATTGAAAGTACAATTAATGCCGCATCAACGGCACGCTTTAGCATGGCTTTTGTGGAGGGAACAGAAAAAACCATCTGGTGGCATTCTAGGTAAATGTTTCACAATAGTAGTTTGATATTAGTATCAATCTTATTATCGTCATTGTGAATATTCCTTTTTTCAATTTTCTTGAATTGCAGCCGATGATATGGGGTTGGGCAAAACATTATCTATGATATCTTTGATAATGACTACTCTTGCTAAGAAGAATTCTGATGATGAAGATGAAAACAGTGAATGGAATAGTATATGTAAGTCTTTATGTAGGTAGATTATTTTATAAGACTTGAGTAAAAAGATCTTGATTTTTCGATATCTGTTTTTTCTTCTGAGTTTCTGAGTCATTTAAATTGTGATATAAATATATCTAGCATACATTTCTGAAATAAATAATTAGTTTCTCAATATTTGATAAAAAAATTGATTCTAATTTCAAAAAATTTTTAAAGAAAAGATGCTACAATATAGTTAGGACGCTTTTATGCTCTTCCATCTAATTTTTATAAAATTTATTTTGATTTAGAAATATTATTCGTTGAAAAATTTTATATGAACGTATATCTTGCTAAAAGATTTGTTTTCAATGTGTACAAGTAGCGTTATTTTCTCATCATATTAAATCAATTATTTCAGTTTGTTAGACGCTTTGTATCTATTGAAACAATTATATTTGATTTGCAGATCAGAGAGGTGGGACTTTGATAGTCTGTCCTGCGTCTTTATTGGCTCAATGGAAAAACGAAGTGCACAGTAAATGTAAACGCGGTTTGCTGTCCGTTGAGATGTATCACGGCAATAGAAGAAGAGAAAACGTTCCTAAGCGCTTGGCAAGAAATGATATAGTCATCACAACATATAATCTATTGTCACGAGAATACAGAAGCGATTCTCCATTGTATAAAGTATATAAAAATCCGACAATATTATTAACTAAATTGATAAAAACTTTTTATCGATTTATATAGATAGATGTTAGAATTTTTAGTTTAATCGAAAGTTAAAATTTTTTTGCAGATTAATTGGAAAAGAATAATATTAGATGAAGCTCATATAATAAGAAATCACAAAAGTCTAGCATCGGAAGCAGTTTGTGGACTCGTGGCGAGCAAACGATGGGCTCTCACTGGTACACCTATACAGAATAAAGAAATGGATCTGTATTCTATCTTAAAATTTCTCAAATGTTCACCGTTTGATGACATACGGGTTTGGAAACGATGGGTGGATAACAAAAATGCCGCGGGTCATCAAAGACTGGCAACAGTTATGAAAAGTTTAATGCTGCGAAGAACAAAGCAAGAGTTGATGGCCAAAGGCGATTTAGAAAATTTACCCAATAAATTTGTAGAGGAAGTAAATATAAAACTAGACCCAGAAGAGCAATTAGTATATGAAAAAATTCTAGTTTACTCTCGTACGTTGTTCGCACAATTCTTAGCTCAAAAGGCAGAAAAGGATCACATGTTCGATTTGTGCAGTGGAAAATTCGATAAACCTAGCTTTCTTTCAAATCCAAGTGAGTTGAACATTTAATTTGAAGCAAGATATTCTATTTTTCGGGCTTATAATAGTTAGCAATGCGTGTTGGTATTTTGATGTTATCTCTTTTTTTGTTGAAGATAAAGAGACGAAGTTCACTGAAGCGCAGAAAAAGTTGCTTGCGCGGCACGCCGACGTAAAATCGCACGATATTTTTGTGCTTTTGCTACGATTACGTCAGGTATGCTGCCATCCAGCGTTGATTCACACAATGCTCGATCAGGAGGATGTGCAACAAAGTGAAATAGCAAGCATGGAGACCGTAGATCACGAATTATTGTCGCGAGTGCATCGCATGTCGCTCAATGCGATGAAAGATATGGATGAGGAAGATATTGGTATTGATCGAAGAATTGTCGGGAATCTACTTACAATAGATAATCCGGTATTCAATGATGATCGCATCAGTTCTAAAGTAATGACGATTGTATTATCTCAAAAGTTTTACAATTTTATTTGCGTGCAATTAATGTGTGTAATATACAATATTTAGATGAGGGCTCTACTCAATATGGTGAAACATATTTTAAAAAAAGATGACGATAAGCTCATTATTGTTTCTCAATGGGCTCTCTTGTTAGACATCATAGCATCACACTTATCCTCGATAAAAGGTGCTCGTTTTAGCAAGTTTACTGGAAAAATAGCCGTCAAAGATCGACAGGTATCTTATGAATGATATCGATTTATTTTGCATGTAGTAGTAGTAATAATAGTATTTATTTATTTGATCTCCTTACAATTTTCGGGGGGTAATTTTTATTACATTTTATAAAAAAGTACTTATCTACTTTTTTCAGAGTATTATAGATTCCTTCAACGATCAAAATTCTAAATTGAGGATCTTGCTGCTCTCGCTTACCGCTGGTGGGATGGGATTGAATTTGGTAGGCGGCAATCATTTATTATTGTTCGATATTCATTGGAATCCTCAACTCGAGTTGCAAGCACAAGATAGAATTTATAGATTTGGTCAAACAAAGGACGTTTATATCCACAAGTTAGTATATCACAATTTAATTCCACATATACGCATACCTTTCAAAGTTTGTTTTATTATAAAATCTTTCAGATTTATTTGCACAGATACAATAGAAGAGCGCATCAAAGCTTTGCAAGAAGGAAAGCTTGGAATAGCGCAAAATATATTGAGTGGCGATAACAGTACTACTACGAAACTGACACTCAATGATCTTAAGTCGCTCTTCGCTTTCTGATTTTATGTCGTAACGTATGATTAATTTTATATCGTAACATAGGTGTATATTTTTTTTAAATTTTAACTTGAACATTTGCACTCATTTTTAAATCATTCAGTGAAAATTGTTCAGTTTTTTCTAATTTATACATAGATTTAAAAATCGCCTTTGGCCATCAATTCTTCGTAATATTAAAGTTTTCGTAAATAATTATGTAAAAATGCTTATGTATTTAAATTATTTACCGATTTGATTAAACAAAGGACGTCTATGTAATAGACGTAAATAATTACTATTAAACTCTTACTTGTAAATACATAAAGCATTTTATTTATGAAAACTTTATCCAACAAATCTATAGAAGTGAATGTAAAGGATGTCTATAACAGTTTGCATAATTATTTTATACATAAAAAAATAATTTTTAATAGAATTTTGTATAAAACTATTATTATATGAGAGATTCAGAGATTATTTATTATTAAATTCTTATTTCTATATACATAAAGTATTTTTAACTGAGTCACAAAAAAATATTAGAGAAATAAATATATTTATTATTAATATTTCGTCTTATATTAGTTTATTACGTAACATGAAAAAAATCAACCTCTTCGCATTCCGACTGATCTTTATCATAATAAATAATAAATTTTGTAATAACAGTTTCTCTTAATATAGTTACCATATTTATTTGATACTTATTATTTAATTTCTAAATAAGTATACTTTAAATAATTTTTTTATTCTGACAATGAGTAAAAGCAATGTCGACATAATCTATTAAAATAGATTCATCTTTTCTAAAATTCTTCCTTACTTTGCTTTTTTATATTCTGGCGAAGGTAAACAATTAAAATTTAATAAAAGATTTGTTAACACTGCATTATTTTACGTTTATGAGTATATAAAAGTTTAGAATATCTTGTGATCTTTTTTGTGGAAAGATCATTTCCCGCTTCGTCTATTTTAACCGACAGTGGAAACAGTCACTCTCTATAGCTAAAGATTTACGCAGTCGATGCTGTCGATCTGACGAGATAGTACCTCATCAGTGGCGTGCTGAACATATGTTCTTCCGTTTCGCGCCTAAAATTCTCAACGTACAAAGCGTAGAACAGAACTTGTTGAAATATATGCAGAACTGGTTTGTCAGCCTATAATTAACATGGGGTTGAATACGGAATTGAAAAGCCTCTCCGTAAGAAACGGTGATCATTCTTCCCCGAAAACGCCGGTCAAGGAATTAGCACGAGGGAAGATGCACGTTATCAAGCGCAGTAAGTTACAAATAAGTCATAAATGCAAATACACAATTATTTGTGTTTCATAAATAACGTTAATTTTTGTGATATAATGTTGATGTACTATTTATTATTATAATATTACTAGATTATTATTAAAAGATTATATTAACAAAGAATAGATGAAAATAATTTATAATTGGATGAAGATTAGGTTATTAAATATTGGTATAAGCCAATAAGACAAAATAAACACTTATTTTCAACACAAACCTTTATATATACAATACATTATGCTGATATTAAACTGATGTTATGACAATATAATTCAAACTTTTATGCCTGTAGTTATAAATTCTTGCCAAAGATGCAAGAAAGAAAGACTTGAATTAAAAACTATTATTTTTTGTAGATGGGCGTAAGGAAGATGTTCATTTTGATAAAATCACTTCAAGAATTGCAAAACAGTGTTATAATTTAGATATGAACTATGTGGATCCAGTAAGTATCGCTTCATGATCTTCGTAGGTTCTTAATACACGAAGAGATAATGTTGTATAATTAAAAATAATCTATGTATAATAAAAGTTGAAAAGGTTTTTTTTGGTAATATAAATTCATCTAACATATACACTTATTGTAGTCTGCTGTTGCAATTCAAGTGATACGTGGCTTATATTCTGGAGTGACTACAGTTATATTGGATAATCTTGCAGCTGAGACCGCAGCTACTATGGCAACTGATCATCCTGACTATGCTATATTAGCTGCACGAATTGATGTGTCTAATCTACACAAGCAGACTAAGAAGAGCTTCAGTGGTATAATATTTTGCTGATTTAATTTCTACATTATAATATTTTTAATATCTCTTATCATGCTCGTTTTGTATGTTACAGAGGTCATGCACGATTTATATTATGCTAAGAATCCAGTCACGAGTGAATATACTCCTATAATCAGCGAACATTATTATAACATTATCAAGAATAATGCAGAAAAACTGGACTCTGCTATAATATATGACAGAGACTTCAATTATAATTATATTGGTTTTAAAACACTGGAAAGGAGCTATCTATTGAAAATTAATGGCACGATAGTGGAAAGACCACAACACATGTTGATGAGAGTGGCTGTTGGCATTCATGAAAACGACATTGAGAAAGCTATAGAAACATATAACTATTTATCCGAACGATACTTTACGCATGCTTCACCGACGTTATTTAACGCCTGCACCAACAATCAACAGATGTCCAGGTGATTTGAGTTAATTATCTTATCAAACATTGAATGTTATGATTTTAATTAAAATTTTACTTGCAGCTGCTTCCTCTTAACACTCGACGACGACAGCATAAAGGGTGTATATGGCATGCTGAAGAAATGTGCGCTCATCAGCAAATATGCCGGTGGAATAGGTCTCAATGTTCATTGCATTCGTGCAAGCACGGAGAATACGTATGAGACGGGTGGAACTAACGGATTGATTTCCGTCTTAAAATTATATAACGACATGGCTATCTATGTTGATCAAGGAGGAAATAAAAGACCAGGAGCGTTTGCAATTTACTTAGAACCGTGGCATGCTGATATCTTTGATTTTCTGGAGCTTAAAAGAAACATTGGTAATTTTTTTCTTATTATATGAAACAAATCAGTAGATGAAAATTGAATCGTTAGTATAAGCGTGATTTTAATATGTGTTTTTTTTCCAGGCGATGGAAATATGCGAGCTAGAGACTTATTTTATGGTCTGTGGATACCAGATCTTTTTATGGAACGTGTGTACAATGATGAGATGTGGAGCTTGATGTGTCCTTATGAATCTCCCGGCTTAGCTGATGTTTGGGGTGATAAATTTAAAGAATTGTATACTAGGTATGCTGGCATTATTTAGCAATTATTTTGTATCTATTAACACTTTGTTATAATACAATTTTATATCTTTCTGTACTAAATTTCGCAAGAGTATAAATATGCGCGAAACATTTCCACAGATACGAACGCGAAGGTCGCTACAGAAAGCAAGTAAAAGCTCAAGAAGTATGGTTCGCTATTCTCAGATCGCAAGTAGAAACCGGAACGCCTTATATGCTTTACAAAGACCACTGTAATCGAAAGTCTAATCATCAGCACTTAGGCACGGTCAAATGCAGCAACTTGTGCACCGAGGTCATCGAATATTCCAGTCCCGACGAAGTCGCCGTGTGCAATCTGGCATCCATCGCCGTCAATATGTTTGTCAATACCAACAACAAAACTTTCGACTTCGAGAAACTCAAGACAGTCACAAAAATCGTCACTCGCAATTTGGATAAAGTTATCGACGTCAATTTTTATCCTATCCCGGAAACCAAAAAATCTAATCAAAGGCATAGACCTATTGGTGAGATTATGCGTTTAAACAATAACATCTATCCTGCCGCAAGTTTTATATAATTCATTATAAATTATAATTGTAAAATTCGTATCTTAGGTATTGGAATACAAGGTTTGGCAGATGCGTTTCTGTTAATGCGACATCCGTTCGACAGCAAAGAAGCGAAGGAACTCAACATCAAAATCTTCGAGACGCTTTACTATGGCGCCTTAGAAGCCAGTTGCGAGTTGGCTGCGGAAAAAGGCACTTATGAAACGTATCAAGGCAGTCCGGTCAGCCAAGGCGTAAGTCTGCGATATTTTCATTGCGCTAAGCATTTCTTGCGAAACTTCTGATTTGCATAACAATCATCATTTTTTTCTTCAGATCCTCCAATATGATATGTGGAACGTCAAGCCGACAGATTTGTGGGATTGGGACAAGTTGAAAGCAGAGATCGCAGAGCATGGAGTGAGAAATTCGCTTTTAATAGCACCTATGCCGACGGCTTCCACGGCGCAGATTCTCGGAAACAACGAATCCATCGAGGCATACACGAGCAATATTTACGTGAGACGCGTATTGTCCGGGGAATTCATCATCGTTAATCCGCATCTGTTGCGAGACTTGACCGCCAAAGGTTTATGGGACAAAGATATGAAGAATGAGCTGCTTTCGAATTTTGGATCTGTTCAAGTAAATAGCTTCAATTATCTCTTTGTTTCTTGCGTTGTTCGCAATCTTAAAGAATGTGTGTACATATATTTTACAGAATATCGATCGTATTCCCGATGATTTGAAAATGCTCTATAAAACTGTATGGGAGATACCGCAGAAAGTAATTCTCGAAATGGCGGCCGATCGAGGGGCTTTCATCGATCAGTCGCAATCCCTGAATGTTCATATAGATGATCCGACACGTGACAAACTTACGTCGATGCATTTCTTCGGTTGGAAAAGTGTAAGTGTAATGATTATTATATTCATTTTCTTATAATTCTGAAATTATTTCAAAGTCTTGTAATTAAAGCTATTATTGTTATATTTTTAACAGGGCTTAAAGACTGGCATGTACTACTTGAGAACAAAACCAGCTGCAAATCCTATACAGTTTACAGTGGATAAATCAAAATTACGAAATTCGGAGTCCGCATCCATAGTTTCCAGTCCTCTTACTCCAGTCTCGTCCTTATCCGTATGCAGTTCTCCTCCTGTTCAATCACCCAAAACTGACGACAATAATGATAATAACGATACTGAAAGACAAAATGAATTAAGTCAGGCAGCGAGCAAAAATTTGGAAGCAATGCTCGCTTGCTCGCGTAAGAATGGAGATGATTGTTTAACGTGCAGCTCATAAGTGTTTACTACTTCCAAATTTTATCTTTTATATTAAAAATACATATTTTTGGTTTGTATATTGTTATATTGTTAACCAAGTATATCTTTGATAAGTATTTGTGCGGAAATTAGTAAATTTAAATTAAATAACATGAAATAACATGAAAATTATTCATGCCATTTCAAATTAGAATATATGTTATCTCTTTATGCACAAATATCCATCTATTCAAAATATTTAAAATATATTACCGTTCTTTAACTTTCTTTATAAACACTTGTAAATTATTTTAAGTTCAATAATTTCAACAAAATAAAAATGTATAATTTAAAATGAATGAACTTTTGTATTTATTAATTTACGTCCTAAAAAGACGTTTTTTTAATTTCTTTAATGATTGACATTTTGAATTTTGCAACAAAAAACTTTCTAAAAGTTTTAAAAAAGATGTTTTAATTATTTAAGTATTTTACGAGCATCCTAACACTGTCAAAAGTAATTCAAAAGCGAAAATAAGCATGTAGAAAAATTAAGATAACCTAACCCTAACCTACTGGAACGGCCAGAAACGCTCCATTTTAACCGAAATTTTAATAAATTGTAACAGGAACACATGATGATATAGGAGCTCATTCGAAACACTAGAATAGAGCAGACGTATTAGTTCTATCTTCTTTCTTACGCTCCATTTTATCCGGGATTTTAATAAATTGTAACAGGAGCACATAATGATATAGGAGCTTACACTAGTGCAGTCGGTACACTTACCATCAATGCATTTGTAATGTTGCTTTGACTAATCAATAGATGACACTGTTTTGGGTGAGCTCCTACATCTCATCATGTGCTCCTGTTACAATTTATTAAAATTCCGAATAAAATGGAGCGTAAGAAAGAAGATAGAAATAGTACGTCTGCTCTTGTCTAGTGTTCGATAGTTCTGAAGTGCGGAGCTCACATGTGCGTGGCTTGCGCATGTATGCGGTATTTTCTCCCTCGTGCTGTTTGCTTGCTGCTTGCGTCTCAAATCTGGCGTTACTGCTGAAAATGTAAGAATTTCTGAAAGCAGATGACAGTCAGCTGGCTGACGGCGCGTCGAATGTCACTAGTGAAAAACACATGGCATCACTGCGATTGCTGGGCCGACAGAGACGACGCAGAATCATATTTATTTTGGTTTAGAAATTAGTCTTGCAGAGCCGTGTGTGGCACGCATCGTTGGACTGTGCGTTTCGCACCAATTTTGGCTATCAAATTTTAAAGTCTTGATATAAGCTTGCTTATCGGAGATCAAGAACTGAGAAACATGACCCGTAAGTTGTGTACCGTTTGTTAGAATTCTCTGTGTTTGTAATTCTGTGCTGTGACAATTCGACGAAAGAAATAACACGAGAGTCCCCTAACTTTTGTGGCTGCCATTGTCATATTAATGTTAATAGGGTCACCAAAGTGATTGTGAAAATCGTGGCTTGCGAGATTCGTCGCTCGTGCGAACAAATATCTCTGCGAGATGCAAACAGTGATGAGAAAACGAAGTGCACTATCGAAAGCTGAAGATGTACTCCAAGTTTCGTCGAGAAGTTTTCGTTCTGGAAAGTGTTTCCGAAGGAAAGGTCAATACTTTTGGAGATGAGTCGAAAAAGAAGGATTTCACGAGTCTATCTATCCAAAATTGAGTGGTTTTACATGAAGCAATTGAATTTTTTACTTGTTCGAAAAGAGCCGTTGGTAGCTCTATTTATTTATTTAGCACGACAATAGTATGACAAATTTACTTTCTGTTTTTGGGAATTGCACTTTTAACCTTGATACACAGCAATTTCGATAGTGCGTGTTCGTTGTGAATGTATAAAATCAATTAGTCAACTTTGACATTTATAAGAAATGTCTATTCGATTCTGACACTGTCATTCCGAAAGTGTGAGTGAATATGGTAAAAAATATGTTTTACAGTGTAGCTTATCTTATTTTTTTCTTTGTCGCCATTTTGTAGCAATGTTATTTGGATAAAAAACAATAAGAATAAAATTTGGAAAGTAATTTGAGTCGTATGTGTGCTAATTGAGAATCAAATAATTTTAAATATAATATTTGCAGTTGTTTTTAATAAATTTTGGAGTAAAGAGTGTCACGTGCGGCATCATTTTTTTAATTCTCTGAAAGGAATGTGATTCTGACTTGCAGACGTGTACAGACATGTCATCAAGCATATCACATATAAATGAAATAAATGAGAACGAATAAAAACTTTAATATATATAAGATATGTTAAATGAAAATAAATGAATTTTTGATTGTTCGATACTTCTCTAAAAGAAATTTAATCATATTGCAGGTGGAAATCAACGTGAACTAGCACGAGCCAAGAACTTAAAGAAAACTGTAAAAAAAGCAGCATCTGAACAAGAGAGCAATAAAGGTCTTTCCTTGGAACAGCGCAAAGCACGGTAAACATCTGAAGCGTTAACAAATGAATTGTGCATCCTGTTTCAATTTTTTGACACATAGCATATATTTTTATCTTACAGTGACGCGGATCGAATGAGAGAGAAGCAACTTAAGAAGCAGCAAGATCAAGCAGAGACGTCTAAGCAGGCAGCGAGATAATTTAGCGGAAGAGGAGTGTATAAATTTTTATAATATAAAAACGGCTATCACATTCAATGGCTACGTTTAAAAAATTCACGACTGTACGAGACACAGAGGCTAATGCTCACTGGGAACTTAAAAGGGAATTACAATGTTTCTGATGTTAGAGAATCTTTCCATTGCCGGCCGCATACAAGCCTGTCGGCCGTACGACATACCGCAGGACCTAGCCTGGATTATCTTGTTATTTACATATTGCTCATAAAAAAAGGAATACAGTTATAGTCAGTGTGTACAAAACTCGACATTATCTACATCTAAATTCAGTCAAAGAAAATGCGCGTTTGACTGGTTTCTCTAGATATAAGGATCTTAAAATAATACAATATTAGTAGTACTAATTTCTAATCTGTGTAAATTCAGATTTTCACTTATTTAATATGTTATATAATTAAATGTGTAACAAGTGAGCGACTATTACGTACGTATGCGCTATTATCTTTCCCTTTTACTCCTAATAAACTGTTCAAATTTTAACAAGACGCGTATAATTTCGAAATCGCCCATTCAGTCCCTCACAGGCATTGCTTTATCTCAATGAATCGCAGCAACGATTAGTGATGCGTGCAAGCTATTAAAAGGCAGAAGAACATGAAGATTACATAAATTATTTCCCATATTTTTATTGCACTTTCCCAAAAAGAGTACACTTTCTTAACGTACTAATTTTTATTCGCGATTTCATAACTTCGCTTTAATTACAAATTCGTGAATATTAACATTGAATCGAATGAGAGAATGGTGTACGGTATGATTCGATAAATGTCACTACGGTGGAAGACCGAATCTTAATCGCTAACGTGGGGAAAGGAGAAAAGAATGTACACTATACTAAATGATGAACGTATTGTCTAGCCTCTAAAGATCAAAATCCTTACGAGTGTAGTATTCTCTGCGATGGAATACGCCGAAAATTCAAATTTTTTTACTCCGAGTAGCCGTTAATTGTATTGGGATTTGCTAGGCTGTATTTTTTTGCGTTCTAACACATCTATAAGCAGGAACGATTCACTTCTTTTTCTTTTTTTTGTTTGGCTCCAAGTTTATAATATGCGAGGAACAACGCGCTATATTGAGCATTTATTTAATTATAGTAATACACTACTAGTATGTCGTAATCCATTTGAAGAATTTACATGTGATACTTTAATATTACGTACGTGACGTCGGGAATCCATCAATGTAAGAAATTGCTCTTTCAAATGTATTCTGAGAGAGAAAGAGAGAGAGAGAGAGATATTGAGAAAGTTAACACACGCACGCGCTCATTGGCACAAATAATATATATGTATATATAAAATAGACTAATGATTTTCTGCTCATTTCTCTTTATCCGCAATTAATTTTACAACGTGGTCAATTTATTTCGTGTGCCTTCATTAACGACTCAATTCAAGATTAACAACAAGCTTCTCTTCCTTGCAATGTAAAAGATTTATATTTAAAAAATATGGTCGTGTTAGAAAATATTTCTTTGCGAAGTTTGTCATGTGTTAAGTTGAAGATGCTCAAAATGCTTTTATTGAAAATTCAATTACTTTCGATATAAAATTTGACTAACTTATTAAACTCGCCATCACTTAAACTGAGTTTCAATTGAGCTCTAGAGTAGTGTGTCTCGAGTTCTCTTGATATACCTTAGCAATAATACAATTATCTAAAGATGGGCGGCAATGATGCTGTTTTTTCCCCCCCTCATCTTCCTGTCAATGTCTTTACAAATGTTCCGTATACACATGTAATTTTTTTATCATAATATCATAATCAATACGTTACGATATAAATATTCACTTATGCCTATTTCGATGATGCAACGTCTTTTCTTCTTTGTATTTGGAAAGATGTGATATCGGAAATGCGATATTTTCGGGACAAGTGTTTCGAGAATTCTGGAGGAAGATATTACACTCGAAGTTGCAGCATTACGAAAAAAATGCCGATTGAGCTTATCTACTTGTGTGTATGTGTATTGCTACTTATCATTACAACACTATTATTCGTAACAATAGCACCATGTTTGTATTGTTCATAGGTAAATTATGTATTGCAGATTGAACGAATTCATATACATGTTATGTGCTGTACAGCATTTGTTCATCGGTGGTGGCTTGAAAAAATTATACAAGATTCTCTCGCTATACAAAATTAAAATATAAAATTGTAACAGAAGAGTCTCTTCACATAGAATTGAGAAATCTAATTCGATTATTTTCTGCGTGTATATAACTCTTTAGCTAAATTATACCGAATATTTTGTACTTTATAATCATTTTTCGTTAAATGCAATATTAATTCAGGAGAATAGTCAAATTTTGATAACATCTTCAGCCCACTTGAAAGGATCTATAACTCGCAACAGAAAATTTTAAGTAGAACCCTATTTATAATTTTATGTGCCACTTTAATGTGAGCTTTATATATTGGTTTTACATATGTGGGTTTTATATATATATCAAGATCCTAAAATTTACATAGCACAAAGGGATAAAAAAGTTAAAAAATCGATTGTAAAACACACATATTGTAATAAACTTAAACAATTTAAAATGAATTTGAATTCAGACTTTACACAATGCCTCCTTCGAGAATTATTAAGTATAGTGCCTTTAAAAAAATTTTTTTAAAGTGAGCTTACATTTGTATTACTCGCGAACATTTTTGTTACAGTTTTTACCTATATAAGTAAAATATAACGTAAAATATGTACGGTTCATGCGAATGCAAATATTTTTTTATCTTACAACAATTGAACAAGATAAAAAATTATTATCGATCGAAGCGAACGAATAACACCTTTTATAATATTGAGAAAGTCTGTATTGTCGCGTGTGAATGTATGCTTAACGCCAATCTATACTACACGTTTACAGACAACATATCGCGTGTTAATACCTGGGAATGATATCATACGAGATGCAACATATATCCCCTTCGTTTTCCATTAGCGGTCTATGGAATGTATACGAATACTTGCGATGAATCGTATTAACTTGAGAACTATTTTGTTGTTTCAGAACAGCGTCCTCCGGAAATCTATTTCTGCAATTTTTCAACGATATCTGATGAAAAGAAACATAAACGTTGCAAACGCGGTCCTTGGCCTTCATCGGAACAAGGGAGGACGATGCGAGAAGTGACCTATAAAACCTACGCGTCTGATTGTTACTTGGACGGCGGAAACCAAAGAGAGAGACAGATCAATCGATCTCTCACATTCGCGCATCGAAATGATTTCTATCACGCGTGAAGCACGGACAAAGCGACAAAGATAAGAAGCAAGCAAACGTGATCGACCAAGGAAGACAGAGTCTCCGACGAATTAAACTAAATTGCTCGCCTTCGCCGCGCTGATCACCACTTCCTCGATAGACAGGACGCAAGAAAAGATACGTTCTCCACCGATCGCGATTACGTATATGGACCTTCTCGTGAAAATAACCGATCGAGAACAACAACTGAGCGGAAAGTCGAAGATGTTCCAAGAGCTCGGCCCGGCTTGCAGGCTGCGGCTCTAAAGACCCCTAAAGATTCAGAGAGCATATCGTGCAGGTCTGGACGACGCAATGCGAGTGCAGATGTGACGAATGTGATGGAAGTGACGGATGTGACGGCGGAGGTGGCGGAGGTGGCGGTGGCGGTGGCGGAGGCGGCGGTGGCGGCATGTACAGCCAGCCAGCACCCGCAGGCCAGACCGCGGACGATGCTGAGGACGTCGGAAGCAGCGAATTGGCAGCACCACCCCCGGCATTGACGTGCGACGTCGGTCCACTTTCTACTCACATCACCTGAAAGTAAATTCATTGAAGAACAGGACGTTTTTTTTTTTATCGTGACTTTAATATTTAAGACGCATTAGAGAGCAGCGTCACTGAATGACTGTTTTAAAATTCTCGTTTTTTTTAATGTCTTTAACCTCTAATTGCACGCCTCGAGCAGATTTTTTTGTATCTCGAGTATAAATGCATAATTATCAGGGAACTTATAATTTACAGGAATTCAAATCGCGGTAATGAATATATATTTATGCAAAATTAATATAGTGTTCGCCGTCAACACGTGCAAACTGTTTTACGAAAAGTATGTTGATTTTTCTAGACGGCCATTCAGATATTGAAGAATTATACGGTGGAGCATCTAATAATGATAAGCATTTTTTAATTAACAAATAATTTGAATGACACAATAATTGCGAATTTCGAATATTCTGCACAGGATTTTAACACTTGCTACGCAAAATTCAAATCCAATTACAAAATAGTAATTCTCGCAAACCGCTCGAGCACAGAGAATGTTCGCGCAAAAGACTCTCAATTCAATAATTTGGCTATTTCTGCTCGCAGCTGTGGCACATAGTATCAATGTAACAAATAGTTTCGCGAACGGCGCGAACGGGCGCAATTACAGCCAATAGCGTAAGATTTCAGTCAAGAGCTCGACGACTCGAATTACACCGAGAGCTCTGATTCTGTTAATTAATAGCGAGCGCAAAGGGCGTTCGCGCGGAGTCACGTATACTCTCGATGTATCGCAGCGATTGAAATACGTCGAAACTGCGATGTAATAACTGCCGGAGTTTCGGTTGATCGATTTGGTTTAATATCGCAGCGATACATTTATACGGCTATTTACGCCGGCGATTCGCGAGCGTGAAGGACGGGTCTTACCTGTAATATTTGGCTCGCTTCGAAGGCCGTCCCTGGCAATAATATGACCGGGCTACTGACATGTCCGCTTTCGACGCAAATCATGTTGGGGAACTCGTCGTCGCCGAAATCGGGAATGTCGCGCGCCTTCTCCTGCCAAGGATTCCAGACGACGGTGTCGGGGAAGTTGTACTTCTGCACGCGCATCTTCCTACCGGAAACGACATTTGTGATGATGTGCTCCGGCTGCGTGTTCTGGTAGATCCTGTCGGTCCACTCGCATACCGTCACGACGTCGCGGCCTTCTTGAAAGATTTGGTTGTCCCTAGTCTGTGCGCGAGAAAAATCTTGTGAGAGACCGTTATTTTATTGATAAAGCTCGTTTTAAATTACTTATAAATCGCAATGGAACTCGAGATAGAAATTTATATCTTTATGTGCTGTCCACTATTAACTATATCTTAATCTATTAACATTATCGATAGACTATGGGAATTATTTAAACAGTCAGAGACATATATTTTGTACGCGTGCAATAGATATCTGTAACAGAATTGCGAATTATAGATTTTTTAAGACGAGCTTAAGTTATTAATATAGTTTGAAAATAAATGACTCATTATTGAGTTCTCTAAGTAAACATTTAATTTGCAAAGATCGGGGGCGGAATAACTTCGCTACCTTGTCGACGAACGTGCACCCGTGCAATCCCGTGATTTGGCATCTCCTGACGTCGGGCACCTTGAAGTAAGTGTGTAATAGCAGATTAAAACTGAATGTGTCTTCTCTGCTAGGATTGTACACGCCGATATTGAAATGCAGCTCCTTCTCGCGCAATATTAGCCTATACGTTAGCCTAAATTGCGAATTCCACAGTGACCGCGTGAACTCGCTGTCCATTATCGAGAATATCGCTTCGATGTCCCCGCTGGGCAGGCGCTCCGGCGACTTCTCCACGTTCCAACGAATAATTCTAGCGAAGCCATGGGGTGGCCCGAACGTCCACGCGCCGAATTGTGCTGCGGAAACAATCGTGCATTGTGTTGCGTCACTTTGTAAATATCGCCGTGCGTTTTCTATATTTTTCGTCCGAAGCTTCTCAAAATATTGAAATCGTTCAATCAGATATTTGTTCGAATTGTTGTTTTATTTCGTTGCTGCAAATTCTGTAAACACGACATTTCGTCTGTTATACTTACGGAAGACAAATGGTATGCCGCCTCTAATAGCTTTCTTTCCATCGAATACCGCTTGCTTACTGAAACACAAAGGATTAACCGTTGGAGAGAAAAAGGATCGGCCGATACTTGCGTATTGCAGGTAACCGTTTTGATCGTAAATTTTATATTATTCCTGCGCGCGCACACACGCGTATTAATTATATTTTATATTGTGCTGTATGTATTAAATTTCTTACGGCGTTTCATTATTTAACGAGATGAATTCCGTACGGAAAAAGCAGCGAAAATATATTATTTTAAAAACGATGCGGGGATTTATTCGTTCGCGCGTTTGTTTTTGCGTTGATCGCGCTGGAACACACAGGTATTATATATATATTATTTCCTCGCTGCAATAATAAAAATTAAAAATAAAAAACGGAATCTACGGTACTGACGATAACATTGAAAAATATATGCCGATAGAATATCACTTTGTTGTTTGTTGCCGGCGTTGTTATTGTAAATTGCGTGGGTATCACATATCAGATTAATGAAACCGCATGGACAATGTACAAATATTTGTCGAACGACCTAACGATCGGACGATGGTCGATCTAAATAATGGTGGGGTAAACAATAAAGCATGCTCGATACGCAGCAGTCTGAATCGAAATCCGCTGAACGTGTCTTTTATTCCAATCTCGGTCACCGGAATGTATATGAAAGTACAGGAGTAGCGACAAATTATGGATGAGTCGAATAAATCGTTACCGTCTCGCCTTTTTACATTCCCGTGCGCTCTGAATGCGCGGTTTAAGCTCGCGCGCGAGAGCTTCACAGCGGTTCGTTTTAACTAATTTACGAGGACCGTGCGCTATTTTACGATCGCGCATTGTGCCGGGGGAAGACAAAGCGAAGAGGTTGCATAGTTGAGCGTCGATATATAAATGATCATACGACGCTGTGCGAACCATTTCGTGAAACTCGAACGGGACTCACGACGCGTCTTGCGATTTATTTTTCAGCGTGACAATATTCTACCTCGCGAGACTCTGGGAATCTGTGCATTCCGGTGTGTCTGGAATAATATATTTTATTAATATTTCACTTTTCGCTTAGGGACACGTGGACGCGTCGATACACGAATGCCGTGTTTGCGTCATTCTTGCAGGCCGGAAACGCCGGAAGAGTGCAATATAAGTCGGGTCGGTAAATAGTATTTTTGGACACGCAGGTATGAATTTCTTTGCAGAACGAACGACTCGGTTTTCCAACTAGCTGTATTGCAGTCGAAAACGAAAGTGAATCCCCGAAGGTCGGTTGAGGCAAGTTAACTGCCCTCATAAAAAGGGGAGAAAGGCCGGTCGGTGTTTTATTGTTCGCCGTTTTCGTACCATCGGCTCGCTTTATCTTATAACGATCATTTCGCGGATAAGTAAGTAATTACGGTATCGCGCTGTTTGGCGCGGCTAAATACTTAATTTGTTTCTAACTGACGAGCGGAGGAGCCCCTGAGCACTCGTCTCGCGCGGGGTTGCTTCGTACGGTTAATAGTGAACGGGGGAAAAAAATTCCTCTTACTTAGGAGCAGGCAATTAGGCTGCTTCAGCGCGCATTCCTAGTTATAAATTCCCAATAATAAATGTTCGCAACATCGTGATGTATGCTTCCTCTCCGTATTTTCCGACAACTTGAAAATTACCGTAAAAGGTAATTCCACCATTCGTCAGCAAAGACGAACGGAAAGGCAATAAGAGTCAGAAGCGAGATTGCTGGAGCGCAAAAAGTATCGAATTATTAACCGATTAATAATTATTAATAATTCTTTCGCTCCAATAATCGCGCTTTGAATTCTTACGTTCATCGAAAAAATATCTAGACGTATAAAATGTGTGTATCAATCAGAAATGTGTCGACTAGTGTCGCGGTTGTCGACAGAAACTCTCGTCAAAATTTGTATATAGATAAATCTGACGTGATTTTGCGAATTTTTGGCCCTTCCTAGGAAAGCACTTGCGAGATTGGCCACTTTTAGGATCATCGAGCGAGTTAGAAAACTCGTTGATCCCTTTCATTAGCGAACTTGAAGCGTTCGGAACGCGTTGATATCGCCGCGCTGCGGAAGGGAGACGGAGATGTCGCGTTGCGTGAGTGTGGAAGAAAAGAGAATGAGAGAAAGAGGGGGAGAGAGATATATATATATATATATATATATATATATATATATATA